TTATTTTACATCCAAAGCAAAGCAAAATTTAGCGGTTTGTCTCCACTTTATTCCATCCAGTATGCTCACAAGAGATCAAATTATAAAAAAAGGAAAAAGAATTTCATAAATCACAAAACCTTTATTTTCCATCCTGTTTCCAAGCGATGTATGAAGACAGCTTCATTTTAGCTACTGCCGGAAGAGTAAGCCATGAAAACGATGCAGGACTGTGTGGAATCATGATAGCGTGCTAAGAGCAATCATTTAGTGACTGACAAGCTTTTTGCCTGTATCATTTTTCAAGATTGTCAAACACCTAACTAAAAAATGTTAGGAATGATACGTATGAAGATCAGCAAACCATGAATTACATATGAGACTTACACTCATCTCTAATCCTCCTTGTACATCCTCATTTCTTCATTCCTCCGTTTTTATCTTACCATAGAATATTTTGATGGAAATGAAAAAACTGATAAAGCAACAGTCACAAGAATTTAATTTGATAGACGTCGTAAGCCAAGACTAATTTGAAAACCAGTGCGACCCTTAAAATGGTAACAAAGTAACAAAAATTGGGTTTTTTAAAAAAAAATGAAAAATTATATTATGAAAGCTTACCAAATTTCCAAAGAAATTATGCATTCCTTTTTTGTATAGATTGATACTTTTACACATCCATCTTCATAAATAGTGAATTTTGAAAGAAATTATAGCAACATCATTTATAATGATATTGACAGACAATTGCACTGCTATTATAAAAAAAATCTGCGATTCAGAGAGGTTCGGAGCTGAAAGAAAAATATTGGAATTATAAACTTTCAAAAGATAGTAATAGAAAATTTCCAATTCACGGTTCAAGTTCTAAAATGCCTATTAACAAGAAAAATTCGGAATTTGTTGTCAAAAGAACTTTTCTCTGTCATGCCTGCTTGTAGTTTTTTTTGCATCCTAATTCTGGCAGAAAAGGCATGAGAACTGAAGTGCGGCAAATGCTACATTAATGCTATTCTTAACTTGCTGTCAAGTATCTCAACTAATACCGTATTATCACTTATTTATCTTTTCCTTTCCACATGAGATATCAAAAAAAAAAGCATTATTTTCAGTGAGACCAAAATTTTTTGTTTACTTTGTTAACAAATATGTTTCTATCAATCATAGTTTGCATCATTCATTTACTCCGTTTCGTCCATTTCTACCCACTCATTCTTCACTGAGATAAAACCGGGTGATGAAAATCTTTTTTTCCTTCAATTTATAAATTAAAAAAGGGAATTTAAAATAAGTATTAATATGATCTACATAAATTTAGTAGCTTTGGAAAAAGAAAATTTATTCATGACGATTTGAAGTTTTAAATTGAACTGGAATTTTTTTTCTTTAAATAATAGCATTTAATCTATTGATATCTTGCATGACTTATAGTGTTGTAATTTACTTTTATGTAGTATTTTGCATCACGTTGATTATAACAAGATAAATTTTAGTTTGTTTGAGCTAAGTTAAACAACTAATGAGATCGATTTCAGGCATTCACATCAGTTTCTAATTAACTTTACTGTTTTTTTTTTTTTTTTTGATTGAATGGACCGCAACAAAATTTTCTTGTCTAATAGCCTCGATTTGTTTTAAAGTGTCTAGCTTATTTCAAAGTGATTGTCCTGTTCTCTAATTCTCCTGGATCTGCAGCACTGCCTTTTAGCATATCAAATCTATTCATTTTATGCCCAACTTGGATTTCCATCTAGTAAAGGAAGTAAACAAATGATATATCATGATTGAGTTTTGAATTATGTCAGTTGTGTCGATTATGCTTCATACATTTATTTCGACGAAGAATTTGAACATCAATTACGGATTTCAAAGAAAATAGTGACTGACGCCACTTATGTAAAAAGAAATTAGTTAATAGCCGAAATTAAATTAGTGACTTTAAAAAAAAAAAAAAAAAAAACTTAGAACATGTATTTATACACCACTTAGATGCTTATCTATAAAAATAAATCCAGCTTTTCTATACCTACTTAATTTTGCAATGAACATTGTTATTCAGATTCCAAGATCACATTTCCAGTATTTGATTCTCAGAAATTGCGTGTTATTCTAATTTAATTATACTTCGCATCAAATTTAATAGCTTAAAATTTTAGAAGAATCAAATCTTTAAGCTAATTTCGTGTTCTTTGGTAGTGCTGATAAATCATAATGGCTGATTAAGATTATCGTTTTGTTGTTGATATATTTCCAACAATGAAATTACTCCCGATTACATGTTTATTCCTAAACACATTGAGAAAATCTTAGATATAGCTGCTAGGATCCGAATGTCTATGGTTTAAGTTGTCCAGAAAAAGTATTCGTATCACTTTGACTGAAACAAGATTAGCAGTCCAAATGATCTAATTACTATTCACACCCTCATTTTTCTTTCCATCATTTTAGGGTGAACTTTTCACAGTAACGTCATTGGATTTTGCTAATTTAATCGCAATTGCTTCAATATATTTATCTTTTATTACTTTAATATGTTAATTATTCCTAATTTCCTACTTGATCTTACAAAACAAAAAATTTTGCAAACAATGTAGAAAAGAAAGCATTCACATTGTTATGGGAAGAATTAAAGATCTGTGCTACAGCAAATTGCTTGGAAAATGTGAATGGGTCATTTTTTATCAATGAAATTATTTTTGCTGTATGGTTTCATTTGTATTATTCACATGTCCTTTCAGCTTTTATTTTTTCTAGGAGAGAACAAATGTTATACATCAAAAACTTCTGATCATGTTGAATTCACTATGGACCTATATACAACGCAAAAAAAAAACATTTTTTCCTATGTTAAAAACATATGTTGTTTTGTTTCAGAACAAATACACCTTATTTATTGCAACACATGGTACTGTTCAGAATTCATTATTTTGTTCATTGTAAAATATTCGTTCTTTTTCAGACGCCGTACTTTGTCTCCAATACGAAATTTTGTAATCGTTTCTTCAAATGTCGCCTGTCAAATGTTTGCTGTTTTCACTGACAAAAAGTTAAATTGCTAGATTTCTAGTTCCCCAAAAAAAGTTTTTTTTTTTCACTGTTAATACAATTAACAGATAAAAAGAAATTCGACAAATCAGCCTTCGTTTTCGGTTCCCAGCTGCAAAGTATTGTTTTTCATATCAAATGGTTCCCTGAAAAATGTTTTTTTTCTTTATTCACAACATTTCAATATTACTAATTCAGTGTGTGATCATAACTATTCATCATTATTAATCTGTTATGATATTCTCATTGCCCAGTAGTTCAAACACAATTCTTAACATGAGCATTTCCTAAGGCTTCAAAATTCTGCAGTACATAAACATTGAAAATTAAGTATAGCAAACTATTTAATAAACTCCTAACTGTCGTAACTTCAGCATAAACTTGAATTGTTATCAGAACGAATGTAAAAATCTTAAACATAAAGTTATATATGTCATGCCTAAAAATACTCGGCAAGATATTCAGAAATTCTCTTTATCTCTGTTTAGCAGTTACATCTCCTTCATTTCTTTATACCACTAACTTTTAATTCATCTTCAGTTGTTAATCTCTTCACTAGGTGAAATTTATAGAAGTATGGTAATGTTTGCAATTCATTGTAAAACACTTTAAATATCGCTGACAGTGGTAATTCGACCTGACTACCTCTTGTCAGCCACCATTGAGTGAATTCTTAATTATATTTAATTCATCGTACTACACTACTTTTCCTGGTGATTTACTACTCTATACCAGTAACACTGATTTAGGAAATATCGTCATTTTCATCTGCCAATTCATCGAGCGACTTTTAAATGGCAAGTTGTTGTTTCTTTTTGATTAAGGGGAGAATATTATTAATTCAAGTATTTTAAATGCATTGAAGTTTTAATATCCTTTGTTGAACAGATTTTTAAAACTTTTTTTTTTGGAATTTACACAACGCTGGTCAGAAATTGATAAATCAATGTTGTTAATAATTAATAATGTTTATATGTTCATGAAATATAATTGGTATCTGGGCAATCTAAGAATCTCTGTCTGTCTTATGAGTAGCCATAAGTGGCCATATGAAGAATAAACATCTAGGAAAAAGTCGTAAAACTAATGCAATAGGTGAATTTAAGAAGAACTCAAAAGATAAAGAGGTAAATGAAACTGAAAAAATGTACAAGTGGAAGATGGAAATAAAGAAGAGAAGAGATAGTGCTATAACTGTAATTAAAAGAACCTTCACGTACCATTTCCGCCTCCCTAAAGATGCTTGTCTATTCAGCAAATGAAACTATTTCATGAGCATTGTTTTTCTCTTTAAGCTCCACTTCACTATCATTTACTACTTTGTAATTCTTCCAGGCATTTCATCATATTCCAATAATTCATTGTATCAAACACAGTACCCTAATTTTGTTGATTTCAATTTTTCATTTCGAAGATCAACGCCGAGATTTGCAAATTCATCTGCTGGTCATATCACCAGAAAAGCTAAATGGTGCATACAGGTGTAATTATTCCTCTCAAATTTTCTACTTGATATTGCGATTACAAACCATAAAGGATTCACTGATTAATTCAACCCATATAAAAGAAAAGCGATAACCTTCGTGAAGCACCAAAAAATCATTTTTAGGCAACAATCAAATGCTAGGAAAAAACTGCTTAGCATCTTTACTGCACAAGCCTTAGCGTAAAAACACTGTTCTTCATTGCAACATTATATACAAAATCGCCTAGATTCCAAGCGAACATCAGTATTATCAGGAGCAAATGTATTCCAAAAATATTCTCGGTTTATCTATTTTAAATAAACTCTTAACTCGTCATTTCCTGAGCAAATTAACCTCATTTTTTTAGCTAGAATATAAACACTCAAATTAAATACAGTGTACTGCTCATTTTTGATGATTCTTGTCATATGTTATCATTCATCCTGTCTGAATCCGATTTTGTAGAATTAAATGAAAAAATAATATGATGACCTCAAATAATATGATATGACAAGTTCTGACTTTGAATTATTTTCCTCACCTAAGGCGCTATTTGTAACAATATGCGAATATTTATCTGTTTACTTTTCTCCCATTCAATTCGATCCTTATGATATTCATGGTCATTCTCATGATACTGCAGCAACTCTTTCAGCCAACCGAGTAACTACAGTACATTGGATAATACTATTTCACGCCCCGCCGGTATAAGATCATTAAAAGTTTTATCGGTGAATTAATCAAAAAGAAAATGTATCAAAGCTCTAACTGTTGCAGTACTTTTGAACGAGTTGCAGTAATGATTTTACTGCAAAAAAAGAAATTAGTGATTAATGAGTTAGAAAAATTTGTTTAACCGCTAGTTGCAAAAAATTCATAATGGAATTATTTTTTTCTGTTATTGTTTATAGGAATACGTGTCACTACGGAAGAACTATCTGTCCATGAGCACCACAAAAGTTGTCATTTTCAAAAGTTATAACAGCAGTCATTTTGCACCCAGAATTCCTGCTGTGGTTAGTTGTTCCTCATTTCAACACCAAAAAAGTGATTACAGCATTTTATTCACAATAATTTATGCATAATTATCATTTGTAATTTACGTGAGATGGTTTCACACATTTCTTAGTCTTTTGGTAAATGGATAATTATAATGAATATGATCTAAAATAGTCCTACAAAAGCTTCCATTGGACAAAAATAGTTGACGTTCCTATTAAATATTGTCATGTGAAATATAAAGACTTACTAAAGGAATATTAATATTCAATATTCGTTTCAAAAATTATAACAAATCACTGCTATTTATTTTTAAAGCCTTATGTTTTGTCTTTATTCAGCAATGCTAGTTTGCATGAACTGAAAACACTTACTGCTTCATAATAAGATTTTCTACAGTGTCCAATTTCAAAAGTGTTCTAAACAGGTTTCTTATTTACCTCATAACTAGGATTTAGGAGTAATTTATTACTTTTGTTTTTTGTCTGGGCATTGTGTTGATTATAATTATATGCCATTTGAATTTACAGAAACATATGGTTCGTGGAGAACTTTAGGAAATCATCAGAAATCATATAAATACAATTTCAGAGTAAATAATAAATGATTTAGCGTTGATACATAGAAAAGATTAGCTTCTAAATGATTGAGGTAGTCATGGAAATGAAGACGAGACCCCAAATTATTTTACTGTAACTTGCTTTCCATAAGCTCATCTTGTATAACAGTGTTGTAAGTGAGTGTAAAGTAGTCAATTTGATGTATTCGAAAGGAGGATATCATTTTGGAGCAGAAAAAACTCAGAAGCGCCTTTGCGAAAACTATGCTCACTGGTAAATGTAGCGCACCGTCATTGATCTCATGACCCGAATTCAGCTAGCGATAAAAAATTAAACATGTCATCGGGAAACCAGTTCATTCAACCTCACTGCAACAATTGCTCATCCAAAAAAACTCAAAATACCTGTTTTTGCCCATCTGCCTCTTCAATCGCTTAAAATTTCTCTTTTTTTTCACACCAGTACCATTTCCTAAATTCTATTTCCCCTTCAGTTACTCTATTTTTAACTGCATCTCGCCATGAAAATGATATAACAGTGCTGCCTGCCACATTCTCGATAAAAACACAAATCTCTGTTAGTGCACAAAAAGCCATACAGGATTCCAAAACACGTTTCATGAAACATCTGTAGTAAGACAACAATCATTGTGAAGATACAAGGCAAACAAAAAGCATATGACGACTTGATCACTCACACATCAGTGAAGTATTCTTATTTCATTGAAAGCATATAAAGGCTTATTGTTTAGAGAGCGCATATCCAGGATGTTTGAGATGAACACCAAATGCAAATGTCCAAGAAAATCGAGATTCAACAAGAATTTACTTACCGAATCAAACAATGAATTCCCTTATGTCCAGAATCCGCTCCAGATTGTGCTAATTATTAAGCAAAAGATTTCTGCATTTTGTGGAAGGAGTTTTGAAAAGCATTTTTGACAACGGGAAAAGTGAAAGTATATAAGAACTGACTACATTCAAATTGAACAGAAATTTTTGTTATAATTTCTCCGTGAGGTCATCTGTTGCCAGATGTTTTCTCTGTATCTTTTTTCTTTTTCATTGCATGTGCTGATTGTCTTTATGCATGTATTTCTATTTATCACTTTTTTTTCTCCTGAAAGGCGAGATGTTTTGTTGTGTCGTATGATTTTTTAATTCTTTCATAGAAATTGTATTATCGACTACTACTTTAAAGACTTCGAATTTAAGTAAATCATTGCAACGTACAGATCAGAGGTTAAACGAAATTTGCGGCTTATTTCTAGAGAAATATTTCAGAGAGAAATTTGGCAGAAACTAGTTCCACTTTTCTCAAAATGTATTTAAAAATTCCTTTAATAATAACACAGAATAATATCCAAATGTTTTTAAAGCGACCATTATTGTTCAAACATTCGCACAGGTTTAAGGGACTTTCTCGTGAATGAACAGATTCCATCAGCTTAGCAAAATATGCCTTTCAATACTGACAAATGCATATCCTGCGGTCATTATGCTTCTCCTAAACAATACACTAATGATACGAAAATGCAACGAAGCGTTGCGACCCACTTTCAAGAAAATGATTCTTTTTTTCGAAATCAGAGATCATTAGAGCACCGCTCCCTCTTAAATAACATTCATTAATATATGGCATCTTGTTTTCTTCAGTTTATCGTTATGCATGTTAAATTACATAATTGCTTGGCTAAAAATGAAAATGGAATTACAGTTTATCGTAAATAATTACAAAGAAGGTGTGAAAAGGTTCTGGGTTGTGTTGGAAATTTTTGCTAGAATGCCCTACATGTTTTGGAGTTGTTTTTCTGTGAAGTAGCTGGTTGCTTAATTATTAGGAGGAAATGTCTTGCAGTTTTGTTAACTGATTTAGGTAATATGCTTTGTTCCTTATGAGGTTCACAAAGCCTTGGATAAATGCAGGAAATTATTTGTGGTGCCCTCTATGTCATATTGGAAGTCGTAATGCATGACTGATTTTTGCGTATTTCCTGACAGTTCGGTGAATAAATTACATAATAAATACTGAAAGTACTGCTGCTATTGCTGCACAAATTGGAGATACTGCACTGAAACTTCTTATCTGCGAGCTTTTTTCTGTTGTTTACAATTATTAACACTAGCTATGCTTTAGGTATATTCAGGCGGATATTGTTCAATTTAGGTGCTTGAGTAACAGCAGAGGACACTGAGTTGTTTTTTGGTACTGTTTTCTCAACGATAATTATTCATAGATTAGGCTTAAACCTTATTTATTGTTTCGGAAAACTTCCTGGAAATTACAGATTACACAAGTTTCAAGTTTCTTCTTAAATGAAACGTTCGGATGCCAACGTTTGATTAAGAAGTACTTTAGCTTCTGACTAATTCAATTACAGTTGACACACAGACCAGATATTGAGAGTTGTTCAGTTTATTTTAAATAGTCCTTAATAAACACCTCTTTTGTCAATATCAGACGGAAGCATTTAAATTAGAAAAAGTAAAAAGAAAGAGGAAAGAGAATAATTACAGAAAGCCATAAGGATTGGCTATGCGGAAACTTACTTTTTTTAAAAACCTTAAATACAACAAATTGCCGTGACAAGTAATGCTGATAGCACCAGTCTCCATTTTTGGGTCTTGATTGGTTTTGATTCATAAGTGATTTTATGCAGAACTGCATGGATAAATGAGCTATTGCGGGGATTATAATATAATTAATATAATGATATGGATTAGGTGCATGTGTATATGTGCGTGCGCATGTGCATGTGTATATGTTGTGTATGTGGAAGAAAGAAGAAAGTGAGTGGAGTGAACCGGTAGTGCTGCATGCTGCGGGTAAGAAACAAATGAATAATTTAGGAATGGCTTTTGAAGAATTAGTGAAGAATATAGGAGAAAGTAGGTGAAGAGAGTGGTGGATTATGAGCCACTCAACGTGCAGGTGTGAGTGCAGAGTAGAGGTACAGAAGCATATCCGGAGCTGACTTGGACGAAAAGGGCCGCGGGGCAGGATGTACCGGGATGGATGTCCATGCAGACCGGATCCTAGATAGTGTATGCGGCAGTGTGAGTGTCTGTTCTGTTAATCAATTGCTCTCCTCCTCCCCACTCATCTATTTCTTGACGGGAGGTGTGATGAGATGACATCTTCCCTGGGTATCGGTCTTCCCGGATCCACTCATTATATCAGTTCAAAGTGCAACCAGATGACCATGGACTAGAAATCTTCATTTTCTCTTCTCTCTCATGCAATAATAAAAACTGGAAAGGCGATAGATAACACTACATTTGCCTTTACTCCACATTTCGCTTTTTTCAATGACAGTGGACCGATAAATCAAGGAACGAGCTTTGAAGAAGGGAAGTGGAACCAGCGATATCACCACTACTACTCACCACATAGGCACTACTAGCCTATACCACTGTCACATCAATCCCTACTCTGATTACGATTTGTGATTTGCAGGAAATCCAATTCTCCACTAAACTTATGCATATATCCTTCAACAGTTTCAATTAACTATATTCATCCATCCATCGAATAAATGCATTCCCACACTAACATTTCTCCGATTTATCTTTTCAACTCCCTATACACTTGATTTTTGAAAATATAGTGTCCACCATGTACATGACAATGTTTTGCAATACAAATGGTCACCACTAATTTTATAAAATATAGTTAATTTAAACTTCCATAGCATTCCATTCTTAGAAATTGTGACCCATATTCCATTTGCATAAAATCGTTGTTTAAATAGTACAGCGCAATATATCATTGGTCTCTTGGCCATACTTGAGGTTCCGAAAATCGTGTGAAGGCTAGAATTTTGCAGGTAGACAATGATATAGTCATTCACTGATGACCAGTTTACAAAACAAAAGAAGCCGGAAAAAGTAATATGCATGCTTGAATAAATCTGAAATTCAGAGGTGCGTATCCACAAACATCAGATTAGGGACAACGGGTAGCGCAGGACAACCAGAAGCCGGCAAAAAAGATATAACAAAATTTGGAATCAAGAAATATCTATGGAGGGAATAAAGGGGGAAGGGTAGATATTGGGCGACGTAAACCTCTATGAAATTTGTAATGACTGAAGGGGGGATGAAAGAAAGAGAGAGAGACGAAAGATTTCTGAATGAAAATAGTTGTTTCTGTTTCTGGTTTTCAAAAAGTAGAAAATGGAGGCGGAGCATTAACGAACGCCCTTAGACCAGTCCGGTTTAGCACCGTCATTCCAGTGTACCTCCGGTGACCAGTGACCATCCGAGGCACCATCACGGTCAAGTTCGCCTTCCTTGCCCTGCCTCCTGCTGCCACCCAGCAGACACATCATTACTCCTACTGTTCCTCCACATACAATTACCTCCACGAGTTAGCAGCAGTATCAATAATAATAATAATAATAACAACAACAACAACAACAGCTACTACTACTACTACTACTACTGCTACTGCTATTATTACTACTACTGTTACTGCACATAACAGCAAAAACAACAGCGACAGAAACCAACAAATAAACAACAGCA